CCCCAAAACCCCAAAACCCCAAAACCCCGGAAGATCTCTTGGGAATTGAAGTATGGCGCTTGGGATTAGAGTCGTGAGGTTTGGGAGATGTGTTGATGATGTGGTATTAGAATTTTAGATGTAATTAGTATTTTGGAAATTGTTTTTGGGAAGAAAAATTTAGAAATAAGTCAATTTTATTTTAGAAGTGTCTTCGACAGTTTTAGAACTGGTTGTCTGATTATAATTTGGAAGAATTATTGACTGAAAGATGAAAACTTCTCTCAGCTCCATCAATATCTTTTCAAGCCTTAATCTCTCAATTGAAACAACACCATATTCAAATCAACACAAAGAACTCTCAAATCCTCCAAATATCATAAACACTTTTCAAAATTATTCTTAAACTCCCAACGATCCTCTCCTCATTCTAAACTGATTCAAAAATCTTAATAGCTCAGAGGGTAATTATTCTTTCCTACAACTTCCACATTACCCAATCCATGAACTTTCAGCATCTTCTCCGCTTTAGACTTAGTGATTCTACAACAGTGAATGTTCAAAGTCTGCAAAGTATTTCTGAGAGAGGACTTACTGATGGCCTCCACTATGTACTTAAACCTTTCTGGGTAGGCGCTCCACTCCATTCAGACTGAGGAACCCCAACCACAACAGACAAAACTGAGGTAAGTAATATTGGTCTTTATGATGCCAAAGTTCATGTTCTGTCTCGTATGCACTTTACAATACGTGAAAATAAGCCTGCTAGCGTTGTGAGAGTTTTGGATAACAGTCTCAAGTCCAGAAGACTGGAACTCGAAACTTACCAAATAAACCTCTCTGGTGACTCTTATGTAAACTGTTAATGAGACCTTTAATGATCTTTGCTCCTTCCAGTAGTTCTTCCCCATGCCAATTCAAACACAGAAGCTGGAGAGAGTCTGGGGAAGACTTCTCCAAGAACTTGTTGATACTTTCTAACTGAGGATTGTTGATGTCTGAAATTTTAATACTTTTGATATCTGGCAGTTTTAGACGGGTCCTTGTGAAAGCATCAATCTGATCCTTGTGTTTATCATTTTTAAAACTTAATTCAAATGCAAAGTTGGAATCAAACAGCCTCTTCTTTTGCACATTACCCTGGTAGATTGACTCTCAAAGTAATTTTTGTAAATCTTTCTTCGTTTTCTTTACTAGCTGGTGCTCCGTTTTGAGTTTAAATTGGAGATCCCCATTTTGTGTTTGAAGATGCTGGTATTTCAACTTTAAAGCTGAGAGTTGTTCATAAACTGCCTTCAACTCTTTCTCCGTAATGGTTTGTTTTTCCTTATCACTGATATTTGACCTAAATTCGAATGCAAGATTGTCACTCTTTTCCTTTTGTTCTCTTAAACTCTTGATATTTTCATTAAGTTTGTAGATTTGCTCCTGGAACTTTTGCTCTGTTTGCTTTAAAGTTTTGCTATGATTCTCAGTCATTTCTTTACTAATGTCATTTTGAATCTGAGTATGTTTATCTAAAGTTGTTTTTGGAATAATGAAAGTGGAGTTGGAAATTTCCTTAATATCTTCTTCCTGTTCTTCTTTAACTATATTGCAAGATAGATCTATCAGAGAGCTATCGTACAAAAGCTCAAATGCCAAACTACCATCTTTGGAAATCTCACTAGTTGTAATGTTCTTTTTAAAGTTCTCTCACATAATGCTTTTGTTGATCATCCTGACTTGTTCAAGAATTGCATTGCATCTCTCGGAATCCTCACGCTTGAAAGCCTCTTTAACTTCATACTCAAAATTCTTAAAAGTCCTAGCAAAGAGCTTCAAGACACTTTGAAAGCCTCCAGCTAGCACTGTCATTTCAAACTCTTTGGCCTTGTCCTTAACAACACTCCAGAATCTGTGTTTGGCTCCCTCCTTCTTCCCTTCCCTTTCGTCGCCTATTGGTTGGCTTCTCTCCTGCTTGATAGCTTTTGAGTCCATATTGCTGCTAAATTAATCTTAAAATTTAAGTCTGAGTTCAGTTGCTTAAATAGCCACTGGGGTTTTGGGGTTTTGGGGTTTTGGGG